TGGACTCGGGAAGGGGAACATCACACACCGGGGCCTATCATGGGGACGGGGGAGGGGAGAGGGATTGCATTGGGAGTTATACCTGATGTAAATGACGAGTTGAAGGATAATACTTGAATACAGCAGCAGCTTTTACATGAATTCACTAGTCTTCATTTCTGCAGCACTTAATCTGTGTTTTGTATTTCTTCTGACTTCCAGTGTTCCAAACCTATTTACTTGTATTTCATCTACAATTTTTGCCCTCAGTATCTCTAAAGAGTCTTCTTAACGATTATTTCTTATGAATCAGAAGATATTGGAGAACTATTTCATAATTTTAAAAATTAAATTAGAAAAGGCAAGAGGGACTGTTATTGAAGAAACGGACCCATGACTCATAACCACATTTTACCTTGCTCAGATCTCGATTCAAACCAACTGTGAAATAGCGTTTGGGGGACAGTGGCTATATTTTGAATGTGGACTGGATATTTATATTAAGGCATTGTTATTAGGTGAGATAATGGCATGGCGATTATGTGTTAGTTATTTAAACAGATTTTATCAGTTAGAGATGCCTTACAAAGCATTTATCAACGAAATGTTATGAGGTGGGATTTTCTTTAAGACATTCTAGGAAAAAAGTGGTGATGGTAAGGTATAGGGTATAGATATAACCATATGGATCAAATATTATTGAAGCTAGATGATAAATACATCCGGAGGTGGAGGTTGCAGTGAGCTGAGATCGCGCCACTGCACTCCAGCCTGGGCAACAGAGCGAGACTCCGTCTCCAAAAGGGAAAGAAAAAAAAAAAGGATTATTGAGGTCATTTAGTATGTAAATTTTGTAACTTGGTATATTAACCTTTCCGGTGTATCATGAATTATAGTCCTCAATATTATTGTGGTTTCACAGCATTTCAATATATAGATACATCACAATTTATTTAACTGTTTCACTGTTATTGGGGTTTTAGGGTGTTCCTTATTTTTTTCACCACCGTGCACATCAGCATCCTTATGAGTAAATGACTGTTCACATCTAGAAATAGTTCTTCAGGCCACAATCCGAGAAGGGGAATCATTGAATCAGAGGATATATACAATGTACAATTTAATACAAGCTGTAAGTTACGCTTCAGAAGGTGGTGCCATTGTACCCCTGCACCAGCAGTAATAAATGGGGGTGCTTATTTTTCTGCATTTGCAAAGCCAGGAGCTAGGAGGCGATTTGTTCAGACAGATATGTACATATATATATATATACACACACACATATACACACATATGTAAATACACACACACACACACACATATATATATATATATTTTTTTTTTTTTGAGACAGTCTTGCTCTGTCACCCAGGCTGGATGCAATGGTGTGATCTTGGTTCACTGCAACCTTCACCTCCTGGGTTCAAGCAATTCTTGTGCCTCAACTCCCTAGTAGCTGGGATTTTTAGTAGAGACAGGTTTCACCATGTTGGCCAGGCTGGTCTGGAACTTCCGGCCCCAAGCGATCCGCCCATCTCACCCTCCCAAAGTGCTGGGATTATAGGCATGAGCCACCACGCCCGGCCTGTTCAGACCAATAATTAACACACCAGAGTGATGAAGTGTAATTGTTGCACGAGGCATCTCTGATTCTGATTGTGGATGAATTATTGCCCGTGTGGTAGGGACAGGCAGGGTCAGTTGCATTGGGCATCTGCATGGCCACATATGGCTGTGTTTTATCAGTGAAGGAGCTGTGGGCTTAAGGAGAATCCCAGTGTCTCTGGCCCAGCAGCCTATGGCTTCAGATTAATAATATATATTGAGCCAGTTGTTCTCTAGTTTTTACAGTGTCACGGCTCTTGGATGGTTTCCATAGGTGGTTTGGCATACATTTCAGTGTGGTGGTTTCTCAATTTCTGCATTCTTGTAGGCAAGTTCACCAGGAAGGGCTCCTTTGACATCATCTTTGAAGACTAACTTATCCAGCACTCTGAGCCTTGTTTCAGTATTTTTTGGTCTTTCTTGATATTGTGGTTTGACAATCTTGTTTGTTGCAAAATCTGTAGTGTGTTTAAATTTTGAGGCTTTCATACAACAGTTGCTTAACATTCATCCAGGAACTGCCAATTTTTGTTTTTGTCTATGTTCAGATTCCATATTATTGCCTTGCTCTGTCCCATCAGTCAGGAATATCTGAGGCAGTCAAAGGACAGAGTCTTCATATTAGTTCTTTGTCTAAAGGACTCTAACTTTTGTACCGAACTTTTCTTTAGAATCGTGATTCAAGTATACAGTTTAATGCAGTCAAACAGAAAAGGCAGTTGAGCAGCAAATCAGCAAACAATAAACATAGAAAATGAAAAAATATGCTGGGCGCGGTGGCCCACGCCTGTAATTCCAGCACTTTGGGAGGCCGAGGCGGGCGGATCACGAGGTCAGGAGATCGAGATCACAGTGAAACCCTGTCTCTACTAAAAATACAAAAAATTAGCCGGGCACGGTGGTGGGCGCCTGTAGTCCCAGCTACTCGGGAGGCTGAGCCAGGAGAATGGCGTGAACCCGGGAGGCGGAGCTTGCAGTGAGCCGAGATCGCGCCACTGCACTCCAGCCTGGGCCACAGAACTAGACTCCGTCTCAAAAAAAAAAAAAAAGAAAATGAAAAAATATTACCTTGACACAGCCCCCTTTAACACAGAAAATACAGTAGTATTAAAAATATAATGAAATGATTCTCAGTATTTTTAGGGAAATTTGATCCTAATAAAACACCTTTGAATGAAAAAATATAAATTACCCCTGACACAGCCCCCTTTAACACAGAAAATATAGTATTAAAATATAATAAAATATTCTCAGTGTTCTTTTTAGGGAAATTCCATCCTAATAAAAACACCTTTGAACATAATTGCCTTTGTGTGATTTTTCTGTGAATCAAACTGATCAGTTTGACCAACTTCCCTAAAAAGTGTCTGAAATTGCCATCTTCTCAGAATAGTCAGACACAGCTTAGAACCATGGGTTTCCTGTCTAGCTCATGAACATTTGTAAAAGTGAACTAAATGATTATAAGCACCCTCCTCCCAACTAGTTATTTGTTACAGGAGGACTGCCTCCTTGTCAAAACTTAAAATGTATAGGAGCCCTGAAATTGGAGCTATCATCCATCTTACATTAGTAATCATTATATGAATATAGTGATGATTTTTTTTTCCTTTTTAAAATATAAATTTGTCTGAAGGTCTGTTGTCATCACTTTGACATAAGAGCTGTAAGTCAGTCTGGAGTGGAGATGGTTGGAGAATGGAAGGCTATAGTTGGTTGATGAAATCTTGGCTCTGAACAGTTTGTGTCATAGTTTGGGGTAAGCCACTGTGGCAGTTTGCAGAGGCAGTGTGGCAGTGGGGAATGCCTATTTTTAATCACTGCTGTTCCAGGGCCAACCATAATTAGGGATGTTTCCCTTGCTCAGTGAAGCCGTATTTTGCTTTTTGTTCATTGATTGATGGAAATTGTAGGACACTGAGAAAATAACGATGGGCTAAGAGGGTTTTGGTGCCTTTTATTCCTCCCTCAATTAGGGCTTTTCCGGGCCTGCATAACAAAGTGCCAAAAACTGGGTGGCTTACAACAGCAGAAACATAGTGTCTCACAGTTCTAGAGGCTGGAAGTCCAAAGTCAAGGTCTCAGCAGTGTGAGTTCCCTTTGGGGCTATGAGGGAGAATCCGTTCCAGGCCTCTCCCCTAGCTGCTGGTGGACGCTGGCAATCTTTGGGGTTCCTTGGCTTGTAGATGCATCATCCCAGTCTCTTGTCTTCATGTTCACCTGCTGTTTGCTGTATGTGTGTGTCTCTGTGTCCAAAAGTCCCCTTTCTATAAGGACAGCATTCATACTGGACCAGGGCCGGCTCCAGTGACTTCATTTTAACTCGATTACCTATGTAAAGATGCTATCCAAATAAGTTCCCATTCTGAGCGAGGTGCTGGGGCCCCATCTTTTTTGTGGGGACAAAATTCAACCTATAACACCCCCATGAAACATAGTGACAAACAGTCCTCACAGTGCTCCTGAGCTCCACTGGGGGGCAGGATTCTCCACTGTCCAAATGGCCCAGGGTGCTGCCTTCTGGGGTCTGGGGTCTGGGGTCAGCCAGCAGGGCCAGCCACAGCCAGGCTCTGCGACCCGAGCCAGTGGGGTGGGCAGAGAAGAGATTCTGATGCTTTTTATTTCTTTATTATTATACTTAATGCAGAAATTATGAGCCCTGGTGATATCCAATAATAATTGTTTTCCCTTATTTGAGACATTGGAGGTAAGCTTCTCCGTATTCTTCCATAACCACAAAGCAAGCAGGCAAGCGTGAGTTCTCTAAACAAAGAGCGGCTTTAAGCAGGGAATTTTAGGCTTCCAAGCTGGCCCTTTTCACAGGAAGCGGCCATTCTCTGGGAAGTGGCACCCAGTCTGCGGCGTACCTTGCTCAAGAACAATAGACATTAGTCATAGTCTGTTAATTCTGTCTGTTTCCCATGAGAAACAGAATGTGTTCCATGGTGCTGTCAGGGAGTTTCAGGCCCATGTTTGAACTTTTCCTAAGGATCTTCTGTAGCATCAAAGGAGGTGACCTAAGCAGCCTCCAAATGGGGATCTTTGGAGTACGTCAGGGCCTTTGCCCCTGAGTGTTACAGCCCTTGAGGTGGGTGGGGGGTAGGAGTGGTAGCAGAGCTGTGACCAGGGCTGTTCTCACTGTGTGTGTGTGTGTGTGTGTGTGTGTGTGTGTGTGTGTATGCTTGCATGCATGTATGCATGTGTGTGTTTTTCTGCAGGCACCAGCTGGAGATGCCAGGACATTACTCTCATCTGGCCGCCTTCTATGAGGACAAAAAGGGGGTGCTCCATGCTGGTCCCGGCAGAGGCAGCAGCCTGCCCCCTGTCTACTGGCTGCCTTCCATCCACCGATACATGTACCCTGAGATGAAGGTGAGGTTAGCCCTGCTTTTCTTACGCGATACTGGATCTGTATCTGGGAATAGTAGCTGTTGATTAATTTTTAATGAATAAAAAATTTATGTCTTTGGATCATACAAGATATCTACTTTTGATAGAGTAGAGTTGCAACATAAGCATTTGGTTTGTTTAAAACATAAAGCAAGTTATCTTAAACAATATGCTTTCTAGACACTTCTGTAATCATAGTTTAAAGGCGTGATAGGCCAGTCGTGAAAAGATGGATTTAATTCTGTTGATTGCTTCTGATATTTTAACACCAGACATTTGAACTAAAGATGAAGAGTTCGATGAAGAAGTATGACATTTCTTAGTGAATATGCTTTTGATGTTACTTCATTTTGTATTTGTTTCTGAAGTACTTTGGCTTTGGTACTAGAATATGCCTGTTTACAGTTAGCAAAACACCCAGCGAAGCGTTAGGTGTTGGAAGGGTGCAAATATGACTAAGAACACGAATCTCCTCTTTCTCTTTCTTCTCTGTCCCCTGTGGTTGGCCACAGGAGGTTTCCATGGAAACCTAGGGCTCCCCTGGTAGAGAAATTATGCCAAGAGTCCAAGGGAGAACTCTGGGAAAGATGTCTTAGGAGAGGATGCGGTCCCTGAGTATTTGGCTAGGTGGAGAGTGAGGACTGCTGATTCCAGAACCAGGAAAGGTGTGAGCAGCAGTGAGAACCATGGTCTGTCACTCTCTTAGCACCTTCTGGGAGTTACGCATTGTGCCAGCTATTTATCTATACCTGTGGCAGCATTCTCTACAATAAAAGTAAATGTTTTTTTAATCCTTGTTTTCCAGCGAAAGCAACCGGAGCTTATAAAGGGCTAGTGACTGCTTTAGGTCGTACAGCTAATAGGAGTTAGAGCCAAGGTTTAAACAGAGGTCTAGAGCCACAGCCAGTGCATGTGTCCTGCCTCACTTTATTGTCTTTGCAGAGATGTGGACACGGAAAAATGCAAGACAAGTTCATGGGACATGAGCAAACTAGTTTGGCTGGGATTAAGTCAGCCGGCATGAGAGAAATGATTGGAGAACTAGGTTCTGAAATTAGATTGTAGAGAGCCTTAAATAGTAGACCTTGGAACTTGAATCCTAATAAGTACCAGTTAGGAACTTACCGGGAAAAGAGACCATGCTAGGTATTTCAAACTAATTTAATACAGGAGATCAGTAATATAGGAGTTGGAAGGCTGAAGGAGTAGAAAAGGAATAGGTAACCAATATATTAGTAATCATAGACAATAGCCTGACTAACGCCCTATATTAGTCATCGATTGCTGTGGAGCAAATTATCCCCAAATTAATGTTTTAAAACAGTACATATTTATTATTTCACAGCTTCTGTAAGTCAGGAATCCCAGCATGGCTTAACCAGATTCTCTATGTCATGATCTCTCATGAGATGGTATCAGCCAGGGTTAGGGGATCATCTGAAAGTTTGACTGGGGAGGTGTCCACCTCTAAGATCATATGAGTGTTGGCAGGATTGAATTTCTTGAGGACTGTTTTGAACTGAAGGCCTCAGTACCTTGCTAGCTGTTAGTTGGGGGCTCCCCTCAGTTCTTAGCCGTGTGGGTCTCTCCACTATGCGAGGTTGCTTTATCTAAGCCAGTAAGAGAGTGTACTAGCAGGATGGAAGTCAGAACCCTTTGTAACCTAATCATGGAAGTGACAGCCCTGCAATGTCACCATATTTTCTTAGAAGCAAATTAAGAGGACGGAGGGGATCGCATAAGGCTGTAAATACCAAGAGGTGGGTATCACTGGGGACTATCTTAGAGGCTGCCTTCTACCCTCCCCTAGGGCTGGGGTAACAAAGCAAGAGAAGCAGAATGATCAAAACCATGGGAGCCTGCAGGAGGGGTCCCTACACAGCCAGTACTCAGATCACTGAGGGAGGCACTGCGCATCTCTGCTGGGACCTCTCAGGAGGTGTGGCTGCACCTGTGCTGTGCATGCTGAGGAAAGCTGGAGACTGGAGTCGTGGGTGTCTTCTGCTGCTGGAGAAATACTAGCTGGAGCAAGAAGCTGAAGAGATTTCCTTCTGCCTTTCAATCCACAATCCTTGCTCTCCATTGAAGAACTCTAACAGGAAGCCAATTGGCGTGTGAGTTTAGGAATTGTCCTTTACAGGTTTCCCAAGCCCATGGTATAGGCTGAGAGACAATCATTAAGAAATGGTCAGAGGGCCATTGGAGGTACTCTGGGCTCGCACTGACCTGAGTCCTGTTCTCTTTCTGTCTGCTCATAACTGAGACCCATTTTTTCCTTCAGAGTCAAATTTCTGTTGGAATTATCTCCAAATCTACAGGGAGGTGACCTGCATGTGACCTAAATGTACTCATATTCCTCCCCATAAGAGTCCAGAGATGAGGGACTAGGGGAGAAAAAAGAAAACTGCCCATGCTTTTGAGGACAGCTCATTAACATAACTGTTAGACCCTAGGAGATGCAGGGAAGAGGGTACTGTCATGGTTGCAGATACAAATGTGGAGTGTCGTCTTTTTACAAAACAGTATGTCAGCACATCAAAATAAAAAACATGGCCAGGCATGGTGGCTCACGCCTGTAATCCCAGCACTTACGGAGGCCAAGGCGGGCGGCTCACTTGAGGTCAAGAGTTCGAGACCAGCCTGGCCAACATGGTGAAATCCTGTCTCTACTAAAAATACAAAAATTAGCCAGGCTTGGTGGTGGGCACCTGTAATCCCACATACTCGGGAGGCTGAGGCAGGAGAATTGTTTGAACCTGGGAGGCAGAAGTTGCCGTGAGCCAACATCGCACCACTGCACTCCAGCCTGGACGCCAGAGTGAGACTTCTCTAAATAAATAAAAAATAAATAAACATACGTGGCTTTTGTTTCAGCAACTTTACTCCTCAGGATCTATCTACCAGAATGATGTATGTGTAACAATATTTAATTCAACATTGTTCACAGTGGTAGAAAACTAGAAGGCCTATGTATTGAAAGCCGTGGCGAATAGTGAATTAGAGCATAAGAAGATGACATGGAAGGACCACCAGATCTCATTTGTGTGAGAATAGCAAGGTGCGGAAAACTCATCATCCCTTGGTATCTGCAGGGCCTTGGTTCTAGGCGACCTGCCTCAGATACCCAAATCTGCAGATGCTGAAGTCCCCATATAGTAGGGTGTAGTCTGTGCGTGTAACTTACGCGCATCCTCCCATATACAGATACTCCCCAACTTACTGTGGGTTTACACCCCCCTAAGCCCATTGTAAGTTGAAAACAATGTAAGTCAAAAGTGCATTTAATGCTGGCAACGCAGCCGACAGTCCCTGACTTACGATGGGTCCACTTAATGTATGATTTTTCGACTTTATGATGGTGTGGAAGCAATGCGCATTCAGTAGAAACCATAATCCCATCAAAGTCTTAAGGAGCTTCTTGACTTACCATGGGGCTACCTCCTAATAAACCCATCATACAGTTGAAAACTTGGTAAGTTGAATCATGGTAAATCAGGGACCTTCTGTGCTTTAATTTTTTTTTTTTTTTTTTTTTTTTT